GGTGTAGGTCAAATGGAGCCCTCTGACAGCTAGGCTTTTATTCTTTAAACAATAGAATCTATTTATAGCAATGCCACAGTCAGAATTTTTTTTAAATATTAAAAAAAAATTTTTGACTCCCATCCTTCTGGGAAGTACATTACTTCTTATGGATATAACTGAAGACATGTATCCTCTTGTGCAAAAAGAGCAAATAGGATGGAATAGGGTGAAGCAGAGGCCTGCCCTGCCTCAGGCCACGTAGTTATTTATCTGGAGAGGCAATAAAGAACAGCCTTGGACCTTAGCAGGGCTCTCTGGAATAATCCGAGAACTGATGACAACATAGTCCACCTTGACAAGTTAACAAGGACTTCCTGTTCTTGGTGGCTTCACTTGCTGACGGTAGACTATAGGACAGGATTGAAGCTGTAGAGTTCCATTCTTGGATAGTGTACAGAAATAGTACACTGATCCAAACACTAGTAGTTCTGGCTGAACATTCCCTGACTTTTTAACCTTTGGGCTGGCCTTTGTCTTCTTCCTATAACCTCGATGCTGTCACCAGAAAGGGCCCAGGGCCCAGGTGGGTCTGCTCCGGCATGGTCTGGAATGTGTGTGTTCTTGACTTTATGCAGGAAAGATTTAAATACTTGAAGATTTAAAGATTTAAAGTCCATGTGACTTGGAGGGTACATTTATTAGAGCCGGGGACAGTGAAACAAAGGAAGGGCTTGAGATAGAAGATAATAGCAACAGGTGTGATCCTAGGCACAGCTGCCTTGGCCCTTTAGAAATAAAGTTACAGAGGCAGGAGAAATGAGCCAGCTGGGCTGCATGGAAATAAGGTACATGGACAAAGGAGGACTCTGGGAGACAGGTTCAGTGTATAACCGGGAACAAGCTGTCACTGCCTACTGCTCCCCTGGTTGCAAGTCTCCTGGGAGCTTTAGAGTTTAGGAGAAAGAAAGCAAAAATACATGCCTGAGAGAAGAAGGCTGAGAGGAGGTGGGAGGGAAGAGGGTGGGGGGAGATGCAGGCACAGGCACACTCAAGGGACAGCTCGCTCTGGGTCTTTTGTCTTAAGGATTTTTATCAGTTGTCTAAAAGTGGGGTATTTTAGGGGAGGTCTCTATCAGAATATTCACCAGCTTTCCAGATGTGTTCTTTGACACTCCGGTGCATCAAAATGAGCATTTAGAGGGGTCAGGGTCACTCTCTGGTCAGTTTTACCTTCAAAGATGTCACCAGCAAGGGAGTAGGGGCGGGGTGCGTCTGCCCTGCATGGCCTGGACTGTGTAAAGCATTTGCTTCTGAGTGTCCTTGGTTAGGGAAGACGAAATCTTGCGATTTATTAGCTGGCTGTAAATTGTTCAGCCTTCTCTTTAACTGTCTGTTTCTTCATTCCACTTGCCAAGGAATTTTCCTAGCTTTATGCTAACCTGCGTCAATACAAGGTTTTCTGGGTCTTTTTTGCATGTGCCCTGGATGGACCCTCTGTACATACTGTTCTGATATAGAACGTTTCAAGAACAGATGAGAGATACATTAGTTAAATGTGTGGACTCCTTGCCCTAATTGGTTTGGCTCAGTGGATAGAGCATCTGCCTGCAGACTGAAAGGTCCCATGTTTGATTCCGGTCAAGGGCATGTACCTTGGTTGTGGGCACATCCCCAATAGGAGGTGTGCAGGAGGCAGCTGATTGATGTTTCTCTCTCATCAATGTTTCTGACTCTATCCTTCTCCCTTCCTCTCTGCAATAAATAAATAAATAAATAAATAAATAAATAAATAAATAAATATCAATAAAATATATTTTAAAAGAAGTGTGAGAACTCCTTACATCAGAGCCAATGGTCTTGCCAGTTTTCCCTAGGTCTTGAGGGCCAGTTATGGCAGGCTCTTTATCTAACTCAGAAGCTCCCAGTTTCTCCTCGTTCTTATATAGGAACATCTGTGTCCATTACAACCCATGGAGGATTCTGAAGCCATGTCAGAACTAGACAGTGGATGGACAACAACCTTGCTCACTCCTCTGATTCCTTTTTCTACCCTCTGGGTTCTGTTAGTAATTGTAGGCTTTTTTCTTCTATATGAAATTATTATTATCTCACTTACTATCTTACTACTTCACATATCTTCAATATTTTGTTTTCTAGCACTATTTATGTGTTTATTTCCAGATTCTATAACTAATCAGTGAAAGTTTGAGGAACAAAATGTTTACATAATCTCAGTGTTTACTCCTTAATGACTTACTAATTGCAAAGGGTAGAAATAGTAACTTTTCAATGGGGAATAAAATCTAGTGGACACATTTTTAGCCAGCTACTCGAGGTCAACAGCATCCCCTAAGACAAACCATCATGTGCCTCTGGTGGTGATGCACCGAGAAAGACCCAGTATCACGTATGGGGTATTCCTGCCAAAAATGTATCACTTGAATCCTTTTGTGAGGATGTACCAGGCACAATTAAATAACAATAACTGATTTGTATTCTTTAAACACCATCAAAGACATGAAAGACAAAGAAAGACTTAGGAACTATTCCAGGAGAAAAAAACAAAAAAAGATATTTTAATTAAATATAATGCATAATCTTGGATTGGATCCTGCAATAGGAAAAAACAGTGTTCTAAAGGATTTCAATAGGACAGTGGCAAAATGTGGTGATGGTACTGCTCAGTCCAGAATGTCAGACAGTGCAAGTAATTGCCTGCTTTGTTTAGCCACTTACACCATGTTGGTTGTAGTTACCCCAGCGCGAGCTCACGTTCTGTAGCTTGTATCCATTGCTTTTGTTCTTTCCCTGAGCATCACAGCAGGTCTGTTTCCTTCCCCAGATTTTAATCGTTCTGATAGTTGAAAGCAGCTGGTCTGCATTCTTCCCTTCTCCATCTTTTCTTCAGCATAAACATCCTCTATCCTTTCGACCATCAGGGTGAGAAGTTGCCTTCCTCTCTGCATGCTCTTTGCCAATGCTCCTTCCAAAGAATGGCGGCCATGGTTGACAGGACATTCCTGAACACAGTGGAGAGTGTATTGTAATCGTGACCCCATTCCATTAGCTCTTTAATAGTTTGCATATCGATAGGGTTAAGTACATGATTGGCTACTTTTTGCTACTATATACCAGTACTATTAGAATAGTAATGATAATCAAAATGATCACAGCGCCTAACATAACGTATATTGAGCACATGCAGTATAATAGACTTTTCAAATCACTCTTCATGTAATAGCTTATTTAGTATTTACAAATCAATGAAGTAGACAATAATAACAATCATACTCTGTCACCAGATGAGGAATAATCTGCCCAGGGTCACTTATCTAGTGAGCAAAATGGCTACAATGAATTGTGAAGCTTTTACAGGCTGTTCATCCGATTTCTCCCTCAACCAGATAATCCTAGACTTTTAAGAAAAATGCTTTAAAAAGTCATGTTTGCATCCTACTCTAAATCTGTGGACTTTTTACTAGATAATCAGTATTTACCATCTTTAAAAAAACATCATTAAATTCACACATTTAATTTTTATCTGATACAACATGAATTTACTTTATCAGTTGTTTGATAAAAACATGCGTTTTTACCTCATATACCCAAAAGTTGCACTGAGATGACAGAACACATATAAAAATAATGGGGAAAAAAGTCCATAGTGTGGTTGAGGTCAGGGAGGTGGATGGAGGGATCCACAACAGGATGGATTTGGGGGATGGTATGAAGCATACTAGTATAGATTCAGATTGATAATGAACTCTTTTTGACCTGGGGATCCCACGTCCCCCATAGAAGCAAAACAGAGGGTTCCAGAGAGAATTTTTTTTCTGAAGGCACCAAAATTATTAGAAGCAGAAGGGAGCCCAATGGCCAGTAGCCTATAAATTAGATAGAAGCAGAGGTAGCCCAATGGCCAGTAGCCTATAAATTAGATAGAAGCAGAAGGTAGCCCAATGGCCAGTAGCCAATAAATTAATCAACATTGGTGGAAATTTGCAGCTGTCTCCAGTCTTCGCCTCTGAAATAAAGATGTGAATACAAGCATTTCAGAGTTAAGTTTAGAGATATTCCCAGAGCAGGCAACAGGCTTGAGAGCAGTTGGCGGCCATCATGAGGAGTTAGGAGACCCTTCTCCTTTGGGAGTTATGTGAAGTGCGCACCCACTAGGAGAGTCCTCCACTTTCTGGCCAACACAACTCTACTTCAACCAGGCTCCTTTAAAGAGAATCTTACCTACACCATCAGCACAGCCATGATTCTCACTGAGACTGGGAAATCCATTGCAGCCACAAATACTAACCAATCTAGTGTTGTACTGTGCTTACAAGTATGAAAATTTTGCCAGAAATTCACAAACACTTGAAGAAATTCACCTGAATAAAGCAAGGATAGCACTTTGCTCAAGGAATTGAGTTAATACATGGTACAAAACAAAGAAATGAATATAATTATTATTTTCATTTTATAAAAACAGGCTAATGACAAAAGGCAAAGCTCTTGAAAATTAGATACATTAAAAGAAAAACCTCAGTAGATGAGTTGACTAGCAATGAATACCAAACTGACTGAGTAGGAAGCAGGGAAAGATGAAAATATTATGGGAAAATAGGCGGTTAACGTGACCAACTAGTAGCCCATTAAAGCAATATACTCTTCTCAGTAAATGGCAATGAAAACCATGTAGCTAACAGGATTATAAGTATAGAGAGACAGAAGTACATTTAATGAAAATATTTGCTTTATTACACGTGTTACCCCCTCAGTTTTCGTGGTCTAGTTTAATTGGAACAATGGCTTTAGTTTGTAGATTGTTGAAATGTTTGCTTATGAGTATTTTATATTAAAATATATTAAAAGTTTATGTACTACAAAAGGATTCTTAACTAGTTGAAATCTGTGATTGATATAACATTTAGGAATTTTTGAATCAATCTTGAAGTCATGTGTTTTAAACTAGTATTCATTTATAAACAACTGAATTCTTTTTTTTTTTTTCCCTTAAATTTATCTAGGGTTTGGAAACATCTCCCCACGCACAGAGGGGGGGAAAATATTCTGTATCATCTATGCCTTACTGGGAATTCCCCTCTTTGGTTTTCTATTGGCTGGAGTTGGAGATCAACTAGGGACCATATTTGGAAAAGGAATTGCAAAAGTGGAAGATACATTTATTGTAAGTATGATAGCCTTTTAACTACATGTGGTTATTATTTGTTTAATATATTAAAATATTACACTTTTTCTATTATCTCAGTGCAGCTATACATTCATTATTAGATTTTCCATAACAATTTATATGTACTCCTATTAGCATGTAACTCACTGTATAGTTATTTTGTACTTATCTGAATGAATAAATTAATGCAAAAGGAAACTCTTAAAATATGCATTAAAAAGTAGAAATCTGACAGCCCTAGTTCAAATTCCAGATATATTGTTTCCTAGCTATATTTTGTAATTTATTAAATGTGACTAGAACTACTGACAATGAAACATTACTCCAAGAGTTAGAGATAATATAAGTTATAGTTTAACAGAGCTAGTAAAGACTGAAAATATTTTAATTAAAAAATGTTTTGGTATCCTTGTTCATTGCTGATGTCACTGTGAACATATAACCCTTCTGTGAGGGATATAGAACTATAAGGTAAACAGGATAAAGATGACCATACAACTTAATTCAGTAATATCATTGATAGAAATCTATCCAAGGGATATAACTCAGTAGAACCAGTAGTGATATATATGAAGATGTTCATGGCCATATTACATTCAATAAAAAAAATAAAATGAAAATGCTTCTGTTACAATTCTAAATAAAAAATAATAATATCATGAGTACAAACTTCTATTCTTGAAGAAAATTATGGATAAAGAAAATGATTGTGTTAGAGGATGGGATTATAAATGATTTATTACTACTGTCAGCACTATTCCAAATATATTTTATTTATTATGAAATGACATTTTCATATTTTCGCAAAATTGTCAGAGCATTTTACATCTAATTCTATGGATGTAATAAAACTCTTGAATATGGTTTTTCAATTTAAATCATAGTTCCAGTTTTTAGCATTATTATGTTTCATATTTAAGTTCAAAGTTCACTCTCATTTTTTTAATTGATTTCAGGAAGAGGAAGGGAAAGGGAGATGAAGATAGAAATATCAATGATGAGAGAAAATCATTGATTGGCTGCTTCTTGCAAGTCCCCCAGTAGGGATCCAGCCCACAACCTGGGCATGTGCCCTTGACCAGAATCGAACCCGGGACCCTTGAATCTACAGGCCAAAGCTCTAGATACTAAGCCAAACCGGCTAGGGCCACTCTCAAATATTTTTACTGTTAGAATGGAGTATGTATGGTTATTTATCCTTTTTATGGCATTATACTTTTCTTACATTGATATAAAAATATCTTGTATTTATATTAATTGAGAGGTAATATTAGTGGTGTAAACTTGATAGTACTGAATTGTTCATTATTCATCAGAGTTTTGAGCACCTACTGGATGCTGGGCAATCTCTTTTGTGCTGCTTCTACATCAGTGCATAAGACCAATTCCGTGCCCTGTTAGGGGATACATTCCAGTATGGTCACGATTCAGCATTCAGCACTAAACACTTCTGAGAACTTGACAAATGTGAATTCACTTAGCTCTCAGATGTTGATAAGGATGGTGGACTAGAGAAACTTTTCTTTCTATTTTCCACCCAGTGCTTTCATTGGCCTTTATTTCTAGAAAAATTTCAGGCTCTACAATTCAGTGATTCTTCTATGGTGGGGCTGTGACCCAGAAAGGATAGATTCAGTTAGAGATAAAAAATTCATGGTGATAAATTCCCAAAAGACCTGGAGATAAACTGCTGTCTGTACAAACTTCATTTAATGTCACAGTGTGGAGATTCCTGATAAGAGAAGGAGATGAAAAAATATGGGTACTCTGATGGCAGCTGTAGCTTAAAGGTTTGGAAGATTTTTCCTTATCATCTTTTTTTTCTTTAATATATTTTATTGATTTTTAACAGAGAGGAAGGGAGAGAGATAGAGAGCTAGAAACGTCGATGAGAGAGAAACATCGGCCAGCTGCCTCTTGCACACCCCCTACCGGGGATGTGCCCGCGACCAATGTACATGCCCGTGACCGGAATTGAACCTGGAACCTTTCAGTTCGCAGACCGACACTCTACCACTGAGCCAAACTGGCTTCGGCTACATATCATCTTTGATATATTTAGTTTTATAGTTTAAGACCATAGGACAGAGAGATAGTTCATCAGGCTCATCTGGGAATAAATGTGAGTTTTAAGTCTCTGAACATACACTTTAATCAATTAAATATTGATTGGAAATGTGATAGGAGTGAGAAGGAATAATTTGATTAGTACTAAATATTTAATTCATAGTTCATTTTTTCCCCCATTTTCATATATGTTTAGATTGTATTCACCCCACAATCTATTGTATGCCTAAAGACTGGAAATATTTTACGAGTAGTTCAGGTAAACAAAAGGATGATGTAAATCTGAGATTTGTATTCTTAGAGCAAATGTGATTTACTTTGGAGAGTAATTTACCTGTTGTAAGCTGTGTAAGACTAAAATGGTATCATTATTAGCATTGAATGTTTTGAGCTAGTTATGTTATACCCAATTTTGACTTTAGTTATGTCATAAAAATTTATCATAAAAGGGAATAAAATTCCCACTTGCTAATTTGTTAACAGTGTATATAAATTAGCTTTATGCATATGCCAATAATGCATTAATCTCAGTCAATTTCTCTTTCTCACTCTCTTGCTGTCTTCCTTAGAAGTGGAATGTTAGTCAGACCAAGATTCGCATCATCTCAACAATCATATTTATACTGTTTGGCTGTGTGCTCTTCGTTGCTCTGCCGGCAATCATATTTAAGCACATAGAAGGCTGGAGTGCTCTGGACGCCATTTACTTTGTGGTTATCACTTTAACAACCATTGGATTCGGGGATTATGTTGCAGGTAAGTTTTTCTTGGCACCGACACTGCCCTCCTAACCCATGTCCCTTCATTAGACTTTCCACTTGGGTTTGCAGTACAACACAGTGACTGTATTCGTTTCCTAAGGTTGCTATAACCAGGTACCATAATCTGGGTTGCTTTAAACAAAAGGAATCCAATCTCTCTTGGCAGTTCAAAATCAAGGTGACAGCAGAGGCATGCTCCCTCTAAGACTGTCAGAATCCTTCCTTGCTTTCTGTCCAGCAATCCTTGTTGATTCTTGGCTTAGAGACCCATCACTCCCATCTCTGCTTCCATCATCCCACTGTTTTCTCCGTGTTTCGCTCACTGTGTCCAAAGGATGCCAGTCACATTGGATTCATGCTAATCTAGTGTGAGTTCATCATACTAATTACATCTCTTAGGACTCATTTCCAAATAAGGTTGCATTCTAAAGTACTAGGGGTTAGGACTTCAATATATATATTTTTGGAAGACACATTTTGACAGTGATAAAGCCAAAGAAAGTCATTCCATGACAGTGGAGGTGAGCAGATTGGTGGAGTTGGACATTTATTTTATTTTTTATTTTATGAAAGAGTTTTAATTGCTGGTTATTCAGAATTTTATATTCCCACCCTATTTTCCAAACCCAAATATCTGCCTCTTAATTAAAAAAAAATTTGAGTTTAACTTAGCTTTGCTCTTTTTACTTAGGCCTTTTCATATCTTAGTTTCAAAAACACCTGCAAACTTTAGATGTTCTTAGCTACTTAAAAACTTCTTTTCTCTAAGATATTTACCATCTTTAATTTTTAGTTCTCGGGAAAATATTTTAGGCCTTGGCTAAAATGTTCATTTTATTTTTATTCAGTTAAAATTTTCTTCTTTTCTATATATGTTATTTCAATTGCTGTTCGCTTATTTATTTGCTGCAAAAAGCTTTATTGTTTCATTTAGCCCATTGCCTGGGAGAGGGCTTCAGGTGGTTAAGAGAATGGCTAGCAGTTTCCAGGAGAGGCAAAAGGCAGACACCAGGGGGTGCAGAGGGGCCCCTCAAAGGCCTCCGGGCTCCACAGGCTCCTAGTCCTGCTGGAGGGAAGCCTTTCCAGGAGCTTCTGGCCCCGCCCAGCCTGGGGCCTCAGCCTGCAGAGGGGAGCCAGGTGTGGCCCATCTTCCCCATGAGTTTCACCTCCTCACCCGGAAGTGGTTCTGCAGGAAGTCAGAGCTGAGCGTCTGCGGGGTCAGAACCAGGCTTGCAGGTCCACAAGGGCCGGAGCCAGGTTCCTCCCCAAGGCCAGGGCGGCCTCCCTGGCGCCCTCAGTTCTGCCCGCTCATCCTGGGGGAGAGGGCGGCCACCGCGCTGGGTTTGCATCTTTAAGAGATGCTCAGAGCCCTGGAGCTTCACCAACTCCAGGAAGAAGCGGCCTACACCCTCCAGAGCCTCACCACCCAGAGGTAGGTAGGTGTGGGCGCCCACGGAGGCAGGGGGCCAGGCGGTTGACGGCATGCCTCCAGTTTGGTGGGATAATTCTGATGAATTTGGGAGCTCATGGTTGTTCGGTGATAAGGAGTTAAAGCAGAAGCCCGTGTGTTGGCTGGTCCTGGAGGTGGTGCTGAAGGTGGGGACTGGATAAGAGATGGAGGGTGACCGGAGGCTGAGAGAAGGGGCGTCCCTAGGCTGTTCCATCCAAACTGTGGAAGCCAGAGGCAGCCCCACCACCTGCTATTGGCTTTATTGCTGTAGCTCCTAGGACTTCCATTTCTGTCGTTTCCACTCTCCTTTTCCCTGTTATATTATTCAATTATTATTGTTTTAACTCCAGTTTTAAGTAAATTGTAATTGTGGTAAAAGTAATGTAATAATGATCGTGGATCATTTTGACCAGCTACTGAAAATCTAAGCTATTCTTTTTTTTTTTTTTTTTTTAATGATTTGGAAGTATTAGAAAAACATGCTGAACGTTAGAGTAGGAATGTGCCGTTAAATTTTCCAGAGTAAATTCACCAGCCTAATTTAGTTTTAGGGGAGTTTTATACTTTCTGGCTATTTACTATTCTTTCTTGTTTCATTGTGTTGTTGTTGTTTTTAGTCTTAATCATTTTTATTTTACTTAATAAATAAATACATACAAGAGAATGGTTGTGAAACCACTGGTAATGTAGTAAGCTTTAAAGCATTTATTCAACTTCATTCGTTTATTATATTTTTAAAATGAGAATATATATATTTTTTCACTAAGAAATGCTTAATGCTTTACCATTACCCTATTTGTTAAAACTTGAAAATCATTCCGATTAAATGAAAAAAGTGCACAAAAATTCTTTTAATCTTATAATTTAAGATATATTCAAAATAACGTTTTTATAGCAGTCAAAACCTTTAAACATTCAGAACTGCTGTCTCATAAGTTTAACCAAGTGGCCACATTCTAACCTAATTACTAACACCTGGAAAGAATACCGTGGCTCCTAGAGAAGGGAGACCAGCAGTTGGTATAGTTTTCCCTTCTGGGCACTCGCACTTTTGTCCTTGATTAGTATTTTTATTTCATTTGTTCAAACACAGACAGTTGCTTCAACTTTAAAGAACATTTAAATGGACTCTGGGTATTTAATATCGGTGATGCTTGCTAAGACAAGACCTCCAACAAAGAGAATCAGAAGATGTTCTTTCTTGACCCAAACTTCTCACTTAAATATTTTCAGAAAGAGAACATGTTGTGTTTATAGAACATGTTGTGTTCTATAAAATCTCACAGAAGGCTGAGAGTTTGTATGTTTTTTATTGATTGGTTAACTACACAAGATGAGGATGTTTTCATGAGTGACATGTTGCTTTGGTAAAAAATACTGTGTGTGTCTGTGGGCTGGATGGAGGCCCTGAGACAGGACACCTCCTCCCCCCACGTCATGCTGGCGATCTTGTTGTTTTCTAATGTGCTTATTGGTGGAGAGAGGAATCTCAGACATTTGTACCTCCATCTACACGCTTCTGTCCTAAAACACTCATTTTTCTACCTCTCATCAAAGCGATATACTTGGCTTAAGCAGAAGTGGAAAGTGTATGAACACAGGAGAAAGTGAGACACATGGATGATAACAAAGCTTACCCTTGTGGCATGTTAATCTTAGGCTCTTGTACCACTTCATAAACATAATTAACAAGGGCTCATAACTAGAATATATATCGAATAGGTACATATCTTCTATTTTTAGGTGAACAACATTGTGTTGTTTGTATTATTTTATTTTATATAGTATTTGTTTTTATAGTAAGGCACTGTTTTATTTTTCAGCTTTATTGAGATATAGTTGACAAGTAAAATTGCAAGATACTTAAAGTATGCATCATGGCATTTCATATACATAGACGTTGTAAAAGGATTCCTGCCTCCTAGTTAATACATCACATGTGTTCTTTATTTATTTATTTTTTTTTGGGGGGGGGGGTGAGAACAATTAAGTTCTACACTCTTAGCAAATTTCAATGCTGTCCTACAGTGTGTATTTCAACCATTGGCATATTGTATCAATACAGTATAGGGACCACATGGTCGAGACTCTAAAGAAACAAAAATTATAAATAAAAGAAATGTGGGTGGAATCCTAAAATAATGTTGTATATTTGCAACCAGAGTACCAGGAAAAAAAAAAAAAAAGGACCGATATTTTTACTTTATGGTTTTATGAAAGATGAAAAACAATTTTTTTAACTTTAAGAGATAACACTCTGAACCTGGCCAGCTCCTGCGGGTTTGTTAGTGTTCAGTCTCAGCTGTCTGCAGAGTGAAGTGTGCGTATCACGGGCGACCCTGAAGTTCAGAGCCGCAGCGCTGTATTATGGGAAATGGGAACAGAAGGGCATTTGCATGGCATTAAGCTTAGTCCAGTAAACATCTTGATTATTACAGAGATTTCTTTTTGTTGTAGTCCTCTTTATATTCATTATTTTAATTTGACAGAGGAAATAATGAAAAATGGTAGAAATACACTTTACTAATCATTAGCAAGTGCTGAGAAGGATAAATTAGAGAAGAGGCAGATTGACAGCAGTTTTTGATGTTTCTCTGCCTCCTTAATTGATGTATGCTGTAGTTATTTTGGTCTTTGTGAGTCTGTGGAGCCCGGCTCCTTGGATTGTAGTCTTGTCAGCCTCGGTCCTTTTGCCCAGGGAGCGTTTTTTGGAATGAGAACGAGAATGTGGATGAGGGGGCAGGTGTGTGGCAAAGGCTCGGTAGGAAATAATGTGCCCTTTGCCAAAGTCTTTGGAAAAACAAAAATTATGAGTTTTTTAAAAGGACCTTGGGAAAGAATTGCCTCATATAGTTCGATGTAAAAATAGTCTTTGCTTCTGGGTGCTTTGAGACAATAAAGTACAGTTAGATGTGGAGTGAAGGCAAGTACCCCAGCTGGGGAATATTGGTTGTTTACTTTTTTAGAACCTTCTCTCTTGCTATTAGATGTCACTGCAGGTAGGGTTTTCACTTCATTGTGGTATTTTTGCTGGGAAAAACAAGAGGCACTGCTGCAACTTGAAACTTCTCGTCTTTCTCTTGGGTTTTCAACCTCCAAAGAAAACCAAGTTGGGCCTCTCCTGATGCACCCTCATTGGCTGGTGCTCCTCTCAAGCCTGCAAGTCCTTTGACAGGTGCTAGGGATCAATTAATTGTTGTATTGAACTTCTCGAAAGACAAATTCGAACTGTGGTGTTATGAAAAGAAAAGTGAATTTTGGAGAGTGATGTATAAATGTGTAAAAAATAGGTTGTAATCTTGGTGTAACTATTAGGAACATCCCAAGAGCAACAAGTGAGCATGTGGTGTTTTAGACCAGAACTCGGAAGCAGAGTGCTCATCCCCAGGGAATGAGCAAGAAAGTCTGTGCAATAAGACTTTCTACCATGGGAAGAAAACAGGACACCTCCTGATTCTATGTATTCTTAGGCCTCATTCCTTACAGGTCATACAATGCATGCTATAAGTTAGTGCATAATAGTTTTCTAATTCATAAGTAAGTAC